ATCAATGGGAAAAATATCCTTGAGTGAGGATTAACAAAACAAAACAAAAAATGGAATGGCTGTGGTTGGGACTGCACAGGTCTGTCTTTACTTTGGGCCTTGCTTGAAGGATAGATTAGTTAGGTTAACAGCTACTATAACAAACGTGCCCCACTTTTTAAAAAAATATATATTTTATTGATTTTTTACAGAGAGGAAGGGAGAGAGATAGAGAGTTAGAAACATCGATGAGAGAGAAACATCGATCAGCTGCCTCCTGCACACCCCCTACTGGGATGTGCCTGCAACCAAGGTACATGCCTTTGACCGGAATCAAACCTGGGACCTTTCAGTCCGCAGGCCGACGCTCTATCCACTGAGCCAAACCGGTTAGGAACTTTTTAATTATTTACCCACAATAGGTATATTTCTCACTCATCTAACAGGTTGGTAGGTAGCTTTCTGCCACATGGCAATTCAGGCTCCAGAGCTCCTCCTGTCCCGTGACTGTGCCATCTCCCATTCTGTGGGCCAATGGGTAAGGAATGCATAGAGGAGTGCTGCAGGGTGTTAGCCCTGCCTGGAAGTGGTGCAAGTCACTTGTGTTCACATTGCATTGGCCAGAACTCAGTCACATGGCTGTACCTAACTGCAAGGGTGGGGGGCTGGAAAATGTCATTCCTGAGTGGGTAGCCACTCAGTGACAGTTTCTGCTACTCCAGATGGTTTGTTTATTAAGGCACCTAAAATATATTGTTGTAAGGTCATTGCAACCTTGGATGAAATGGCTGGACTCACAGGCAGCAATTACAGGATGCTTCCAGGGTGGGATTGTATTCTAAACAGAAATGTTCTATCTTTGAAAAAATATACACACCCTTCTGAAGTTCCCCCTGACAATGCCTCCTTGCAATTCATATTATTCAACTATGCTGAATTTTACGATACTTCAGGGGTAAATGTCAACTTTGGGGATTTTATTAATAGTATTATTTTTTAATGAGTCTTTTGAAGTCCCTTTCATTATAAACAGCCTGTTTTCCCCAGAGATAATAACTTACAGTGCAAAATATTTGCATTTCACTTGAAACAAAACCAAGGGTTTGAATGTTTTAAATATAAGCAAATCTAATTCTCTTGCGTCTAGAGAAACTGTATAATGAACCATATGTTTGTGACTTAAGCAGACAGATGTAGACAATTTCTTTCTCTCTCCTTTTATTTTTTCTTAAAAATGCTGGCAGAGCTCAAAATTGGCACCAAGCAGCATATATCTCCACCCAGCCAACCAAACCACTGGAGCTGGAGCTGAAATGGGGGAGGTCTTTTAGGGCGCATGCAAAACTGGAGCTTTTCTTGGTTTTGGCTTCTACTTGGAAGCTCAAGGGTCCACAGTTCACCCAGCCCTGTTTTTCAATGCCTTCAATCTTTGCAATTAGACATTTTGTCTTAGGTGACTGACTTTGTCTGAAAAGTTAGGTTGATTTTTGTGGTTGACTTTGGGTTCATTTGGAGATGGTTCCATATCTCCGGTCCTGCAACGAGATGGCCCCCTAGCTGCTGACAGAAAGGTTCCGAGCTGCCATCCCACTGCTAGAATGGGCCTTCCTCTGGTGGTGGCCATAGGCTTTTTTCTCTTACTCCTCTCATAGCCCTCCCTACCCTGAGGTCACCTTGACCTCTGGTCGGGGTTACTGATATGGCCTTAACTAGTCATTTTACCTTTAGTCTTAAAAATATTTTCATTGATTTCAGAGAGGAAGGGAGAGGGAGAGAGAGAGAAACATCAGTGATGATAGAGAATCATTTATTGGCTACCTCCTGCCTGTTATTTGGGATCGAGCCCAAAACCTGGGCATGTGCCCTTGATTGGAATTGAACTCAGGACCCTTCAGTCCACAGGCCAACACTATCCACTGAGCCAAACCAGCTAGGGCTTACCTTTAGTCTTTTCTCCTCCAATCTCCTCACTGAAGTGTTCTTTCTGTAACTCAAATCTGATTATTTCAGTGTCTTAATACTTATCTGTGGCTCCCTATTTTCTAGATATAGTCTAAACCCCTTAACCTGGTGCACCTGGGCCTTTGTAATCTGGGAACCTGCTTTCTGTTTGGACCATCTTGAGGCAATTCCACTAATATCCTCTCTGCACTGGCAGCCTAGTCTTTCTATATGTAGCCCAACCAAGCTACTTTCAGGAGATGGCTATTTTCTCTTGCTAGTATATATTGGGTGTTTTGCAAATGCTGTTCAGTTTTCTTGCTTTGCCATGAATGTTCTATAGCAGTGGTTCTCAACCTTCCTAATGCCGCGACCCTTTAATACAGTTCCTTATGTTGTGGTGACCCCCAATTTCATTGTTACAAATTGAACATAATTAAAGCATAGTGATTAATCACAAAAACAATATGTAATTATATATGTGTTTTCCGATGGTTTTAGGTGACCCCTGTGAAAGGGTCGTTCGACCCCCAAAGGGGTTGTGACCCATAGGTTGAGAACCGCTGGTCTATAGCATTGCTTTTCAAACTTGACTGTGGTTTGAATCACCCGAAGGGCTTGTTAAATCACAGATTCCTGGGCCCCGGTCCCAGAGCCACACCAGCCACTGTGCTTTTAAACAGAGGAATCAATCACTTTCTTCTGTCCATTCCTGATTCCTGCTGTCAGAATAGATCCGAGAGACCTGCTAAGCCACTGACGCCACTCAGGAGTGAGGTTACGTTGGAGAGGAAGTAGAGTGAGCAGTGGTCCTGGAATTTGTGAAAGAACAAACATGGGTTGACATTAACAACAGCAACTGAATACGGCATCTTCAGTTCCTGGAGGGAAGGAATGAATTCCATGGGAGTAGTAGTTTCCATGTCAGAACCAGAGAATACAGCAGTCAACAGCCTGCACGGAGTTATCCGCACCTTCATTCCCAGGACAGCAGTGGCACAGAGCTTTCCACCTTGTCCCACAAGCTTTGTGAACTATCTCTGCCTGCTTAAATTGTTCATTCATAGATGGTTATTCTTGTCTCACCTGTCCGTGCCCAGCTTTTTAGGTTCCTTTACTCCAGCTGTTCCTGTCAGTGTTGACCTGGAGGGCAGAGCTCCTGTGAGCTCTACACATTACCATCTGGCCAGGAACACAGTCCAGCACAGCACTACCTCCATCCTGGGTTCTGCCCCCTGAACTGCTCAGACATCTGGGCTTCTTCAGAAAGTGCTACCTGGAACATTTGAGTTTGGTTCTGGAATCTGGTTGGAGCATTTTGGAAAGTTGTGTGGTCCATCAGGTGCTCAGACTGATTTTTGATCTTCCTTGCTTTCTTTATTTATATTGTTTGTTTCTTACCAGAATGAATAGGGGGTTTCTGAAAACAATTCAGATGGAAGCAACCCAATTAAAAAAAAAGCTCAATATGCCAGAGCCTGGCTTTGAACAACAGATGAGAAAGAGGGCAGGTGCCCCGGCTGGTGTGGCTAAGTTGGTTGAGCATTGTCCCATGCACTGAGAGGTCGCTGGTTCGATTCCTGGTCAGGGCACATGCTCAGGTTGCAGGCTCAATCCCAGGTAGGGGGTAGCCGATCAATGTTTCCCTCTCTCATCCATGTTTCACCCCCTCTCCCTTCCTCTTTCTCTGAAATCAATAAAAACATATATATTTTAAAGAGGGCAGATATTTGCTGACTGCAGGGGCTCATTGAAGGGTATGGGTTCCTCTCTTAAGTCTTCTAACCCTCATTTTCCTCATGGGGTAAAGGACAATGACACCTGCTTTTTCTACCTCTCAAATGTTTTGAGATGCTGTATGAGATCAGGATGTGTGAAATGCTTTGTAAATTTCAAAGCACTCTGAATTTAGGGTATTGACTTAATGGATAGTGGCTTCCAGGGCATTTAAAAATGGTTTGATTTACATTTAGTAAAAACTCGCCTAGTATAAAAACTTCAAAGGTGACATCTCAAGGTTATATCACAGCTCAAAGTTTTATAGTCTCCTGTCTTCTCAGACTGTCATCAGAGGAGAGCCAGGTGTTTCTGGGAAGAATTACTTACTGGAATGGGGTGTGTGTGTTGTGGGGAAATGGGGTGGAGATGGTCCGCTGCCTTTTCTAGGGATAGTGAATACAGTGGCCTCCTAATTATTCCTTGATAGTGTGTTCATAAGTGGCAACCTGGTAGCTTATTTGCAATAAAACTTTTTCTTTCCTAGTCTCTTTTGTCCTAAAGGTTTACTCTCCTTGTGTTCACCTCTTGGTTCCATGAAGGTATCCCTTTGTAGTAGCACCTTAGCCTTAGAGTAGATGGGAGGGATAGAGCAAAGCCCTGGGCGCCTCCTCCCAGAATCACCATTTTTGCTTCTTTTCCCACACCATACACAAGCTTTGTTTTCTTCTGCACCATTTCTCTGGGTCTCTGTATCCTTAAAACCTCAACTTTGGCTTGCACGCCCCCTAGTGGCATGTCTGATGCACCCCTGTTACTCCATTTGTTGTGGTACCATCATAGCTCTCCTTTCTATTCAGCTCTACTACTAAATATTAACCCCAATTCATAAATGCCGGATGAGAGCTTGGGTGATCCTTACTTGCCACTTAAGTAGGACCTGGGAGGTGGGATTTGAATTGGAACTTTTGATTCTCAGATTTATACAGTGGGAATGCATCAGAAAAAAGGATGATATGGTTATAGCTTTTCTAAAGATTTACTTTTTGTGTTTTAAAAAAGAATCGGTTATTTTACTATCTACTCAGCTATTGAAAATCAAAATATGGCAAATAATTTTTTTACCCTCCTTCATTACATTGGAAACACTTTCATCACTCACAAAGTATTCAGTATTTCACTACAAAAATATAAAGCATGATGTCTGCCCTTCAGAAGTTTACATTCTAGTTACATGGTGTTTAAATTATTCCCTTGAGGAAAAAATTGAGTATAATGCACGATAACTTTTATTGATATTTAATATATCTACTTCATCTCACTAAAGAGAGATGCTCTGAGCATTTGCTTATTTATTTTTAAAGTCCTTTTCAGTGGAGAGAGAACCACAAGATAACAGTAATTACCCGGATGAACCGTGGAGGATAACAGAAGAGCAGCGGGAGTACTATGTCAATCAGTTCCGATCCCTTCAGCCAGACCCAAGTTCCTTCATTTCAGGTAATGAAGTCTGACAGGTGAGAATGTGGGTTCCAGGTTATTGTCTCATATAAATAACAGTACACATCTTGAGAAATAGTTTACACAAAATGAGTATGACAGCCTTCTGTGAGTTCAATTTATTTCCCTCTAAGATCGAATTTCTTATCAGCTATAAACCATGCAGAAAAGCACTTGGCAATGACATTTAGAAAAAATTATGTTTCCGTTTCAGAGGGTTAAATCAGAATTTGGTCTGGACCTTGTGATTTAATAGCTGGAGCAGTTTTTGAAATGATAGAGTGTGGCACCAAGGCAACATCTTTAATTGCTTACTCATTATATTAGAGTTAGAGAAAGATGTAGTATAACCTTCTACAGCTAGCATTACAGTCTCCTTATGTTATATATGCCTTAGAAGTTCAAATTCATGCTCGTTTTCTTTGGCTCAAGACTTTCTCCTTTGGTTTTTTGGAGAGAAATTAAAATATGGGAGGAAAATTGGCCAGCATTTTTATGTCCACATCTCAGTTCTTTTGGGCTGTCTTCAGAAATATGTATTCCTGTTGCATTCTCATGTAAAATTCAAGCTGAGAGGAATTGATTTAATTCCTCTGTGCCTACATTTTACTGGGGTGAAGTCTAATCAAACAGTGAAATAATAGAGACTGGAATAAAAATTCATAAAACTTTCTTTTAGTACTTTAATTTTGTAGAATAACAATATGTCCTTGATAATTGTAACCTGACATTGAAGTGAGGACTAAGACTAATTTTCTCTTGTGAAATAAGGTGTGTAATCGAAATGTACTTGTAAAGATGCGACCATCATTTTCTGATTGATGGTAATGGCTTGATTGAAGGCAGACTATTGTAGAGACAAACAAGTTAATGTTAACAACATGATTTTAAAGAAATAAGCAGGAACAGATTGTATGTACTGACTATTTGCTAACCTTACCCATTGCTTAAGTGAGTTTCTTCATAGTCTATACAAATGATTAGACAAATACAAATAGGTAGCTGTTAGGAATGTTTTTACTTTCTTTAAACTTCTTTATTTTGCAGAATTTCCAATGTAGATATAGCTGGAGTGGCTAGTATAACAAACCCCTATCACACAGCCCCAACAATTTTGTTTTATTTATATCCTCTCTCACCAAAGATGGTTTTGAAGCAATTACCAGATAATTTTGTTTGAAAATGCAGGGTGGGCAAAAGTAGGTTTACAGTTGTGAGTACATGAAACACAGTTTATTATTTATTAATTATTGTATTATTTTCCATACAGACAATTGTAAGCCTATTTTTGCCTATTCCTATATTTCAGGATGTATCTCTAAAGATAAGGCCTCTTTTAAAAATATAACCACAGCCCTAGCTGGTTTGGCTCAGTGGATAGAGCATCAGCCTTCGGACTGAAGGGTCCTGGGATCGATTCCGGTCAAGGGCACATGCCGGGTTGCGTGCTCAATCACCAGTAGGGGGCGTGCAGCAGGTAGCCAATCAATGATTCTCTCTCATCCTTGATGTTTCTATCTCTCTCCCTCTCCCTTCCTCTCTAAAATCAATTAAAAATATATAAAAGAGTTCTCTTTAAGAAAAGAATAAAAATATAACCACAATTCATTGGCACACATTAAAATAGAAGAACATGAATTCCTTAATATTATCAAGTTGTCATTGTTCAGATTTCCCTGATTATCATACAAATGCCTTTAAAAATATATTCTTATTGATTTCAGAGAGGAAGGGAGAGGGAGAGATAGAAACATCAATGATGAGAGAGAATCATTGATTGGCTGCCTGCTGCAGGCCCCACACTGGGGGTCAAGCCTGCAACCTGGGTGGTGACCTCCTGGTTCATAGGTTGATGCTCAACCACTGAGCCACAACGGTCAGGCAGGTCTACCCATTTTTATATTGGGTTACTCATCTTTATTTTGCAAAGATCTATATGTATTTGGTGTGCTACTATTATATCCCTGATATATCAATGCTGTGTGTAACTCTTGAGAGTTCTGAGAAAATTGAGAGAATGAGGAGAGAAGTGAGAAATCTGAGAAAATTGAGAGAATGAGGAGAGAAGCAAGAGATCTGAGACTGAGAGATTTCTTATAATAACAAGTCTGAATTCATGTTTTGCTGTTTGACTGCTGACAACTTTTAAGCCTCCCCTCTCCCTTGTGTGCCTCTCATGTGACTCCCCAGCAAGGTATGAAAATAGCTGCAGAGAACAAGGAAAGGAGGCTGGCTTGGAGTTTCTATGGTGGTTGAGGGTGGAGCTGCGCTGGAGGGTTCCAACTCATGGTTTGAACCTTTGTCAGTTCCAAAGGAGGGAGTACTGGGGCTTTCTTATTAGCTTCCCTTTTTGGCAGGGAGCAGCCATAGCACAACTGAACTTGTTAGCAGTCGGCTCCCCTATGGGCTCCAGCTAACCTCTCTGGGACACCATAGTACAACAGCCTCTACTCTCTGAAGACCAATCCAGGTCTCTCACTTTGGGTTCCGGCCTAGTGTGATTTGAAGAAGGATATCAAGGGGGATAAAGAAGAACAACATGAGGGGACATTGTCTATAGCTGGTAAATAGGCTTTCAAGACATTTCTGACAAACGTTTGACATTGATGGCCAACAGCCATATGTCAGCATTATTTTCAGGCTACTTTTGGGGAGAAGGCTTATTGGTTTATAGGGTCCTTTGCTTTTGATCCTTAATGAGCTATCAAAGGAAAATAAGTCTGCTTTAGAGTCCATTATAATTAATTGTTTTAAGGCCAATTAGAAGACTTGTCATTGCCATGGAATGACTTTTGACTTTATCTGCTTAACATAGAGCTTGGGGCTTTGATTTGACTATTCTTTGTGTTAGAATTGAAGCTTTTGAGCTATGAAATTGTTTTTAGAGTTGAAAGCATAAAAATTTCAATCTCAATAATGGTTGGGTCCAACATTTTAAGTGTAGGTGGGACTTTAGTGCAGCTTTGTTAACATGTAAAATGGAATGACTACCTCATTTAAATTGATATTGGCAAATTTACAATGATTAAAGAAAGTAGCAGAAGGTTCCTGGATAAGTTTCTTAAAGAGCCACCAAAGAGCTTAAATCTCACCAAAACTCTTTCCCAATAGGCCTGTCTTATGTCTGTGTGATAAGATTAATGGTGATTTTTTATTTTTTGCTATTTTTTACCATGATTGTGTATTGCATTTTTATTAAAAGTGCTTGACAGATTTTTACTTTAATAATTTTGAAATTTGTCTTTTTAATTTTTAGTAAAATTTTGCACACTTTCAGTAAAAGTGAAGCAGGAATTAATTCATATAATTTACATGTCATAATAAGTGTTATGTCTTTGCTTCTTTGCCCTATTCTAATTTATATATTCTTTTAAAAGCTGTTCACATATTGCTTTTAGACACATGATTTGTATTTGCTTTAATGAATAAATGTTGTATTTGTGGTAGAGATTGTTGAAAGAAAAAATGGTGATTCATTGACATTAAATATAAAAGCTGCTCTAGATATTAATTAATGATTTATTTAAACAATGGCTGTTGACAGGTTCAGTGGCCAAGAACTTCTTCACCAAATCAAAGCTTTCCATTCCAGAACTCTCCTATATATGGTAAGTACAATTAATGCCATATGGCATGATATAGTCATCCATATTCATTCTTTAGTTCCTACTGTTGCATTTTAAAGGTCTTATTTCTTGAATGTTTTTTTTAACAGACTAAGAGAGTGAATAGCATTTAAGTTTTTCTTGCTGTGAAAATTAAATAAGTTATATGAAAATCACAATGAACAGTATCTGGCACATACTGCATATTGTATGTATTAGCTATTATTTTACAAAGTAATTTTCTAGTTATTATCTTCATCTAGATCCCTTTTCAGTGTAAGCCAGCGGTTCTCAACCTGTGGGTCACGACCCCTTTGGCGGTCGAACGACCCTTTCACAGGGGTTGCCTAAGACCATCCTGCATATCAGATATTTACATTAAGATTCATTACAGTAGCAACATTACAGTTATGAAGTAGCAACGAAAATAATTTTATGGTTGGGTCACAGCATGAGGAACTGTATTTAAAGGGCCAGAAGGTTGAGAACCACTGGACTCTAAGCGATTGTGTGGGCATATGAGAATTTCCATTTTGTGTATTTTATTTTCAGATTTTTTCTGCTTGGTGTGATGCAAGTAACCAAAGGACCTTGAAAAGCTATTCTTTATAATATTTTATGAGGCCAGATGAAATGTCTTGGAATTAAGTTAAATTTGACTATTCTAGCTGCCTATAAATTTGGCTGGTGTTTATCAGCTGGACTCTAGCTTTATCAGCTGGACTCTAGCTTAGAATTGCAGCTGTGGAGTGTATAGTACCTTGCTGCTTAGCTGGACACAGCCCTGACTCCAAAGGGCTGTGCTGGGACAGTCCAGATGGCTCCATTTGCATTTATGAAAACGCTTGGTGCCTCCATAAACTCCCAGCTGTGTGTGGGCTGTTCTTCCTCGTGACTGGGCAGGAGACTGTGCTGCTATAAATATATAATTAAAACATTGGAATATTTATGTAAAACTTTTTTTCACGAGATTCACAAAAATTATGATATCATTTTGTCATGTTTTGTGCATTTTATTGGAAAAATATTGCAATAATCCTTGTGCATGCCAATGTACCTAGGACCCTGAGCTAGATTTATTCACCAGCAATATATTCTAGTGTAATTTTTTTACAACAAGCCTTATGTTAGATTTTAAAGCTAGAGGAAAAAAGAAATTATCATTTTTAGAAGAATACAATCTGTTTTGGCAAAATTCCCAGTCTTACCATAATTGGCATGAGTCTTCCTATCTTTTTGTGGGGACATATACATAAAAGCTGAATGATATTCTCTCCATTCAGCGTTGGCAGCAGTCCCCTTTGCCTGGGAGCTGCTATTTCAGGGCTGGTACATATTAAATATTTGGGGGAGAAGGATGAGAATGGAGCTTACCTTCAATATTCGTTCTTTCAAATAGTAACACATTTCTAGTACATTTTTATGTCTTATGTCTTTACTTGTTCTAACAAGTATACTTGTCTCTGTACACTTGAGACGGGTTGAGCTTAGAAGGTCTTAGTTACTTTGGCAAATAGGTTTCTCCTGTGCTGAGTAAATAGGTCTGTGCCTTTCAGTGGGAAACAATGACCGAAGCAAAGATAAGCCTGTTCAAGACTCTCCCTTTCTTCCTTTCTGTTTTATCTGTTTCCAGCCTTCCCTAGTTGCTAGTTTTATCTGAAAACATAATTCAACCAGTATTTATTGAGCTTACTTATATTTTCCCAGGAGAGGATTCTCAAGCAAAATTTTGATACAACATTTGTGTGACTTGAAAAGTTCAAGGTTTTTCCTTACAGCTGAAAAAAATGAAGTGCTCATTCCTGAGCTCCAGTAACTATATAATGGCCGGGACCACTGTAAAAGGGCCAGGGCCAGCCCTTCCTCTTACTGTTTTGAGCACCAAGTCAGGAGCTCTTTACATCACACACTTACTGAATGGCTGTCAACTGTGGAATTCCGGGCAGCATTTAACTTTTTGTGCCATATATGCTTGTCTTGTATACTTAGAGTTGTAAAACAGACCTATCAGAGACCAGAAGAACTTAAATTTTTATTTATAAAGTACTATTGATACCAGTGCTGTCATACTTTTTCTTCCTCCAAATGGCCCCCTGAGATTTCACATGGGTTTGGGGACTTTGCAGGGTCAAAGAAGCATTCAGGAACCCCTGGGAATTTGTGTCTGCATGTCTGGGGCTCAGTAAATTTTCCTCTAAGCCCAGTATGAGGTACTCATGACATCTTTTATATTTAGGGAACTTAGTGATGCTGACTGCGATGGAGCCCTGACCCTGCCTGAGTTCTGTGCTGCCTTTCATCTCATTGTGGCCCGGAAGAACGGCTATCCACTGCCCGAGGGCCTCCCTCCAACTCTGCAGCCAGAGTACCTGCAAGCAGGTAAGGGCTCATCCAAAATCTTAAACCCTAGACATTTTCCATCCGGCCTTACAAGAAACTTTTGTTTCTTAAATGGTGTCCAGGTAATTTGGGGAGTCCCTGGAATCTACAGTTATTGTCCTTCAACTGATATTAGACATTTTGCATCTTATAATATGAGTAATAGGGATGATCTGAGTGTGAGTCATCTGTTATTTTCATTCTAGTACTCTCTAGTCTAGATGGATTTGAACCAAAGTCACTTGCCCTTTCATGAAAATTGTGGCAAAGGCAAGTACTAAATCTCCCAGCTGATATAAAATGAAGAGGAAGATCTTCCTATACAGCCAAGTGCTGACATGGCATTTTTAGGCACGTCCCAGTGTCTCCTAGTGGCCTTGGGCAAGGAACTGAAATAGAACTGTTATACATAATGAAAAAGTTAAAAAAAATTACATAAGCAATGAAATCTGCAAAGTGCCATAATCTTAAATATACACTTGATGAATTTTTACATATATATGCATCCATGTAACTACAATCAGATAATGATTTAGAAAATTCCAGCACACCAGAAGGTTGGAATAGAATTGTGTGGGGAGCTGATATAGGGTTAAGCCTCGGACTGACCTGTGGGCAAAGTCATAAACAATTCCCAGCTTAGAGGGCACAGTCCTCTTAGCATAATTAGGCTTGACCTTATGACACTCCCTAGATCTTACTCGGGAAGCTAATGGGCTGAGGGAAGTGCACAAGAACAAAAACAAGTGAAACTTACAAGAACAAAAACAAGTGAAACTTACAAGAACAAAAACAAGTGAAACTCACAAGAACAGTGTAAACAAGTGAAACTTACAAGAACTGTGTAACTATGGAAACCACTACCTTGTTTACCGCTCACTATAAAATAAAGGCTCAGCTTGCCTTGGGATCTTTCTCTGTGGCCTCAGCCAGGCACAGGGAAGATCCATGGAGACTAAGAAAGCTAGAGAGTTCTGAACGCTGTCTCTGTGTAAAACATTCTTCGCCGACTCCGTCCACACCTTTGGGGAACCCCTGGACCGCTGGGGCTGGCCCCCAGCATATGGCGCCCGAACAGGGGGGCTGGCCCCCAGCAGAGTTGCCTTTCTCATTAATAAAACAGTTACTCCACAAACCCTTTGGATAGGAAATATATCCAACATTTATATCAATTCCTTCAGAAGATTGGACAAATTAGCAGTTTCTCTTGCCCCTTTCAGAGGCAGTGGGCAGTGATCTTATTTCTATTACTCAGAGAAGTATAGCTTCCATCAAAAGGGTCCAGAAACATCTGGTGCTTTCAACAAACTTTCTCACTTTTTAGGCAGGCAAGGTCTTTTCAAAACACGAGAGCTAGTCATGGATGATTATTGACAAGAGGAAGTAGTGTCAAAAGAAAATGTGATTAGTCATTAATAGAGTATAAGTTTTGTAGTTAGATCTGGAAAAGGCCTTAGATGACCTTATCTTGTCCCCTCCTCATACCATATTCAAAGTGGTCAATGACTTATCTGAATCAATCTTGGGGTCTCTGACTCTGAAATAAAAAGTCTGTCATTTTCTGTATTAGGTAGTGGGAGGGTGGAGGGGGTTGAACTGAGACTTGAAGGGAAGAGACCATGTATGTGACTGATGCCAGTGACAGGTAAACATGTTAGGAAAGAGTGACCCATTCTGGGATCTTCCCCAAATGCCCCCATAAAATATATGAAGGGGAGGCTTCAGAGAGCAAAAGTTACTACCCATTTCAGAGCTCTGGCTTTGCCAATAGCAGCTGCTTTCTGACTACAGCCGGCTGTAACTCTAGCCTGCTACCCTTCCTTGCAGGATGGGGAAGACTTTCAGTGGTCTCCAGGAACTAGTTTGCAATTGGGCAGCATGACAAATTGCTCTATTTCTTCTTTGGTGTCTCTCTTCATCTCTGTTATCCCCAACCCCCCTCTTTTTTCTTCCCCTCTCCACCTCTTCCTCATTTCCCCTTCCCTCTCTCCCCATCCCTCTTTCTTTCTTGGATTGAGGCAAAGAAGCACCAGTATTCCTCGGGCTATCTTGGCAACTGTAACAGACCAAGTGCCTATCAGTAGATGAGTGGATAAAGTGGTGGTACATTCACTCCATGGAATACTATTCTTCAGTAAAAAAGAAGGATCACTCACCCTTTGAGGCAGCATGGAGGGACCTGGAGAGTATTATGATAAGTGAACTAAGTCAGTCAGAGAAAGACAAGTTTCATATGATCTCACTCATATGTGGAATCTAATGAACAAAATAAACTGATGAATAAAATGGATGCAGAGACATAGAAGCATTGAACAGACTGTTGAATATCAGAGGGAAGGTGGGGGAGGGTGGGTGGGTGGGAA